AAATGTAAGCCAATTAAACCCTTTCCTCTCCAACTTGCTTTTGGTCATGGTGCTTCATCACAGCAACAGTAACCTGAACTAAGACGGTGTGGTCATGCAGAGGGAGAGATTATGGACTCATATGGATACATGTACTTGTTGAGGTTAACAGGTTGAAATTAGGCAACTTCGTCAATTACTCTTCACCTGATGTTTTGAGACAGAGTCTCTCACTGAACCTGGAACTGAACAATTCAGTTGGGAAAGCTTGTCAATGACGTCCAGGGATCACCGGTCCCCAGTCATTGAGAATCTAGATGTCTGCATTTCTTACTTGAGTGCTGGTGCTCCAAACTTATATCCTCATCCTTTTGTAGCAAGCATTCTCCTGACTGAGCCATCTCCCCGGCCCCTGAATAAAGACTCTCATTTATTTGGTCCCTGTTACATGGTCTAGGTCTGATTGCTGCTTTGTCCATTTAAACCTCTTTTGAATCCTCTGAGTTCTTAGAAGACTGTCTCCTTATCAAACACCTTCTCTCGTGTACTCCAGCTTTCCTCATCAGTTTAGCTTCTGGTTTTAGATCATCCTTTGACCTGGTGGCTTCAGTGTGCCATCTTGGCCTGTGCAGCTGGAATGTGGGTACTTGTGGACTGGTGGCCATGCTCACCTTACTCTGCACTCTCCTCAGGCTCCAGCGACACTCAACTTCATGGGACGCAGTGTGGTCAAGAGCTCTGCATTTCCTCAATTTGATGCTTCAGCTATACTATCACAGTTTACTTTCGTTTGTTTTTTCGAGACAGGGTTTCTCTGTGTAGTTTTGGTGCCTTTCCTGGATCTCGCTCTGTAGACTAGGCTGTCCTCGAACTCACAAAGACCTGCCTGCCTCTGCCTCCCGAGTGCTGGGATTAAAGGTGTGCACCACCACTGCCTGACCAAGAGCCATAAGTTTTTTAAACTGGAGTTCCAGCTGTAAAATGGGGATAGTAACGCCACCAACCTCCTGTAACTAGAGGAAGACTGAGTGGTAATTCGCAAGTTCTGAGAAGAGTCCCTGGACTGGAAGCCACTGGTAAATGGTGGACTGACCTTATTCTTGTTCCATGCACATTCACTGAGAACTTAAGATCATTTTGAATCATCTACTGTCCAGAGGCAACACATGGGTTGACTCTAAACAAAGAAGGTCTGTATTTTAGCTGCTGTTCCACGTAATTGGTTACTGCACACTTGGACAAATCTATGATGCTTCATCTATTCTTTTTCATTCACACATTTTATGCCTTGGAATTCAGAATGTGAGTTTTACAGTAGTATTCTAAGCAGCTGAAAGATGATTTATTCTGTCATCTTAGCATCAATCAAATGGAGCATTTATTTTACTGATTCTTTTGAAGGAAGCTATAGTTTTTTGAAGAGTTATATTTTTAATTTGAATGTATTCCATGGAAAAGCCCATGTTATATATCACTAAACACCCTGGGAAAGAGCTAAACCACCAGAATGGGAAAATATGTGTTGTAATAAATGAAGAAGGGGATTTTATAATGAGTTCCTAGCACTCAGAAGCCCAAATTGTTTCTGAATTCATCTCTCAACTTTACACCCCACATAATCCCATTCTCAGAACAACGCTATTACTACCTATCATTTAAATTCCTTAGACAGTGGGATATCCCTTAATTAACCATGTATCTGGTTTTTAAAGCCATTTTAAAGATGATAACACACTTAATTGATATCTGGCATTTTAATAGTTAAAAGCCTAATTATTGGACAACTAAAGTGTCTATTTGGCCCATTGTCATGAAAGAACTTTAACACTGGCAATATGTCTTCAACTTACTAGAACATGTAAGAGTTTAGCCAGCATCTATTCCTTCATAGTTTTTCCAAATACTGGCAAGGCAATGGGAAGCTAAGCAGACATGGCTTCACTCCTGGAGTAGAAGGGCACAAATGAACTAAGCAGCTGCATATCAAAGAGTGTCAGAGCTTCTCAGAAGTGCAAAATGCTCTGATGGTCTATAAACTACAATGCATGGGAGGTGAGTGGGGCCCACAGGCAGCAGACACACACTTGAATTGTTTTGTGACCCCCAAAGGACAGCATCTTAGTTTGTTTCAATGCTGCATCCTGAATGTCCAGATATCTGTCATTCATTTCTATGTGAGAAGACGTTTTACCACAAACAGGCCCTCTGAGAGGGGACAGAAGTAAATACTGTGTGAGCATAAAAAGCTAGGAACAGGAAGTTCATCCCTCATGTGTCACATGATTTCAATGGCCCAAATTAGATGAGACTAGTGAGGTGTGAGGGAAGAAGAGAAAGAAAACAGACACTAGCTGGGAGAGATCTCCTTCTGGGTTCTAGGTGAATTTCTAGCCTGGATTCCTCTCGGAATAAAGTTCTTCCCAGAAAAAGCTGCCAAGAGCCAGCAAGCCTGCTCTTCAAAACAAGATCTTCAATTACCCACCAAATACCAGGTGTGCAAATTGCCTTCTGAAGTCCTGTGTGATTAACTGGTCAGTTTTCCATTGAACTATGACTTAAAGAGCACATTTCCAGTACAAATAGCCTCTCCAAAGATGGAAAATTAAACAGTTACTTAAGTCTACCCACTTAAAGCCAGAAAAGAAAAAAAGGATTAGTTCATGCGCCTACAAATTGTGGTAGTACCTGTTCATCCACAGTCTCAGAGCTGATCCAGAAAAGTTGCAGACAAATATGCTATCCAACTCAGGCTATACTAAATGAGACACAACTGTACTAAAATCTCAGTCAGTTCTTCAAAGATTAGAGAGGACAGTCATGAGGTTATTGGCATTGGATTTTATCTAATGATGTGTAATCAATGTTTGTATTTCACATGTGTATTTAGTACTCTCAGTATAACATGGCTCGCTCTCTCTCACTTAGGGTTGGAGAGATTCAGTTTTAGATCCTGACAGGGCCAACAGTTAGAAAATCTTTGACCCACTTTCTTTTTTGGTACAATGGGGACACTATAATTAAATGGGAAGTCCTTGTTGATGCTTAAAAATTTAAAACACTAATAAAATGTTTCTGAGTGCCCAGCACAAAGTAAACCTCAGGAAAAGTAATGGATGTGATGATGATTTAATTATTAATAAACCTAGGTGATAATTTCATATTTATAAATCATGGTTTTCTCATCTTTAATACAGGTCTAACAGCAACTCTGATCTTTGTCCAGGTTATTTTAGTGATAAATGATATATAGTATATGAAATCATTCTTAAAGCTACTAATTTTTTTATAATTGTAATGTATCCCTTCCTGTCTACTTGGATGTATCCCCTTATCACCCTTTATTTATTTTCTTAAAACAAATTCTTTAAGTGTAGGAGACTCCTTGTTTTTGTTGCTCCTGTTAGGAGACTCCTGTTGTTTTTGTTAGTCGTGGTGGACTTAATACAGTTGTCATGACAGGAAGACGTTAAGCCAAGTTTTCTGCTAGGAAGAATTTCTTTCTTATCTTGCCCTCTGCATGTTTCCACCTCTATTTGAATTAATTTAATATTGAAGCTCTCACCTGTCACCATTCCTTCTCTTTATATACACATAGTTATAACGAAGTACCAATAGACATTGATAGTGATGTTTAGTCTTGTCACATACTGTGACCTTGGGCTAATTAAACTTTATATGTCAGTCACCCACAGGGGCAATGAACCAACCCCCAAGGGCTGCTGCGATAACTAAATGAACATTAAATGCAGTGATAAACAAAGATTTGTTCAATTCAGCTTCTTATCAAGCCCATGGATGGTCTTCTTGGACTTGACTGACCTGTGAATGATGCGCTGGCTCTGTAGGTAGTCTAGGGCCATGGCCAGCTCACAGATGAAGAGCTTCACCGTGTCTTCCTGAAAGTGGACATTCTGCTGAAGGTGATAACGCAGGTCCCCACCAAGTAGCAGGTCCACCACCATGAACATGTCTTCCTCATCTTGGAAGGAATACCTGGAACAACATTAGGAATATAAGTATCAGGGCTGGAGAGATGACTCAATGGACAAAGTGCTTGCATGTCAGCCTGAGGACCTGAGTTTGAATCCTCAGCTCCTAGATAGAACCATGACATGGTGGCTAGTGTGAGAACCCCTGCACTGGGAGCCAGACACAGGAGCTGATCCAAGGTTGGGGGCAGACCTCTCAGGCCAGCCCATCTTGCCAAAATAATGAGCTTCAGGTTTATTAAGACAATCTGTCTCAAAAGTAAGGTAAAGAAGCAATTGAGGAAAGACACTGTTAACCTTGGCCTCCATGAGAGAGTACATCTGCCTGCACACATGAACACACATGCAAAACACACACTTTTTTTTTTTTTAAATAAACACCAACTACACTTACAGGATAGAGTACTAGAGGCAAGCTCTAGTAGACTATTGCCATGCTCCCATTTCTTACCAAGAAATTAGGGAATAGTAAGTTTAAGTGATCTCCACCAAGTAAAAATCCTAACAAATGATACAGCCAAGGGTTCTCCAGGGACAAAATGAGATGTGAAAGAGAATAATATCACATCATGAAGCACAAACAAAAGAGAGAACTCTGTGGATAGGGTACAGTGAGAACAATAGGTATGATGGAAAAGCCTGAGTTTGGGGAAGAATGCATGGGCCAATTCTATGACAGGAACTTATTCACCAATCTACAGACATTGGGGATCACTGGCAAGTGTGACACCAGCTGTATGGCCAGATACCAGCTCTTCACTTGAAGGAGCATGGTGCTGAGGACTGGGAGACAGAGTGAGACATAACCAGCCCCACATGGCCCCCTGTTGAATGCAGCAGAGATATGAGGATTTGGTTATATGCACAGAGCCTTGGTAAAGACGTTCTTCTCCAGCGGGGATTTGTCTTGTGCCCATGGCTCAGGCATGATTTATTGTCACAATGAAGTTCTCTAAATCAATACTGCTTTGATGCGTTTCTGTTTCCCTAATGTCACTGAGATCATATTTTGAAGTTTTATTTGCATTTAAAAACTAAGTGTCTGCAAGCAGTACCCAAGGAAGCATATAAATTCTCGGTGATGAATTCTCTGCTCAGGAGTAACTGTAGAACACCAATGTCAGGACAAATACTAAAAAGCGGGGTGGGAGAGATTTACAAACAATAAGGAATGAGAATTTCAACACAGCATTAATCTGAAGGAGGTGATAGACTAATGAAGACTGATGGTCCCTGATGTTTGTTCACTGGCTCAATAAATGAAATTTCATATTCACAGAGAAGATGTCAGAAATTAAGCTCTTGGGGAATTAAGACAAATGAAGGGAATAATTTTTAAAAGTTCGAGATGTGCACACTTGGTATTATCTTTAGGAATTATGTATCCTCTTTACCTCAGTGAGACAAATGGCTGGCTAGCTCTGCTTTAGGTTTAAAAGGCACCAGGAGAGCTGCTAGGTCTGGACACTTGCATTTGAAATCCTTCCAACTACACCAACACAAACTATATTCACTGTGTTCTGGAGATCTTCCAGTGAGCCACCCTGGGATAGTTAATATGTAATCACACCCAAGATCTACTGCACCTCAGGCTGCTCTCAGCAGTGGAACGGAAAATATACTTTCTCATGGCCTGAGTTGCTGATGGAATAAGGATGGTGAGAATGGGAACTGGGTACCAAAAGAAGGGAAAACACGCAGCCAATCATACATATAACTAGAAGCCGATGGAAAGTTACCCTGTGGAGCAGACTTATGCTACACTCTGCTGTTGACTGCCTTGCACTCTGAAGTGCCTTGCACTCTCAGACCTGCTAACACATCAGGGACTCTTCTCTCCCATTGTTGCACTAAATTCCAAGTGTAAATGTTCCTTGTACTAAATTTAGTGTGAACAAGCAAACATTTTTATTAAGGCTTGAGTTAAGAGATTTTAATCCAAAGAAGAAACTGATATGAGTGCCAGTTGTGACAAGTTAGCCACAGTGTTCCAACATGTAAGAGATTAATAATCAAAGAGAGAAGAGGCCAAGGCAAGAGGCAACATGCTCCCCTGGCCAGCAGAAATAGAAATCTAGTAAGCTGTGAAGGCAAGTCTGACTGTTAAAAATCATCTTCCTTCTTCAGCTTGTCACATCTGAATCCTCCTTCAGTTTCTTAAGTCTCAAAGGGAAAAGATAAGCATTTAATATTCTGAAAATATTTTATTAAAAATATGCAGGCATAACATAATTTAGTGATACACAGAATGTTCGAGTTCTTAATATAATCTTACTTTAAAAAATAAACAGACCTTCCTGGTAACTCAGCATGTGTCACAGAGGCTCATGGCTGGGTTTCTGTAGCCATCGTTTCCTATGCGTGGCACAGTTCTTAGCCAGCTATGCTAACATTAACAAGTCTAGCCCTGATGCACGTGAAATTCACTAGGTCGTATGTTCATTAATACACCCACAGGCCAATCTGATGGAGAGGATTTATCAGCTGAAGTTCCCCCTCCGCAGGTGGCTCTAGTTTGTGTCAAATTTACAAAAACCTAACCAGCATGGTGGTATTACACACACAAAACAAAGAAACAAAAGCATGTGTCATGTGTATGTGTGTGTGTATACACATTATATGTGTATGTACATATAATGGATATATTTTAAAAGACATAATACATACAAAATAAAAAGGAAATAAACAATGCTGATCCATGCAGTAAGTTTTCTGCCAAAATTTATTTTGTCTAAATGATGGGATTTATGTCATTTTAAATTTTATAGTTTTTATTTTGTATTTTACTTGATTTTGAAATGTAAATAAACATGAGAAAAAATACATTCTTTTACTTGTATCCAGTATTAGTTGCCTCATTGGAAAGAAGAGCTAACAGTGTTGGCTTCTGATGTGTATAATCAAACTAGGAACATTCACCAAATACAAACTCAATGTCCATAGTTCTATACTATACAAATATTCCTTTCTTTAAATTGAATTTTTATACAATCCTGGGAGGTCAGGGTAGCAGAGTGTTGTTGTTTGTTTTTTTTACACTTTGGCTCTTTTAGGGGGGCCACCACCCCACTCCTAAATAAATAGATACAGAGTCTTATTCTTTCTTATAAATGCCCGGCCTTAGCTTGGCTTGTTCCTAGCCAGTTTTTCTTAACTTTAACTTATCTCTTCTACCTTTTGTCTCTGGGCTTTTCCCATTCTCTTACTTCTATAAATCTTACTTTTATCTCCATGGCTTGCTGTGTAGTTGGATGAATGGCCCCTGATGTCCTCCTCCTTCTCTGGCTAATTCTTCCTCTCCTTCCTGATTTCTCTTTCTGTTAATTCTTTCTGCCTGCCAGACCTGCCTATCCTTTCTCCTGTCTTGCTACTGGCTGTTCAGCTCTTTCTTAGACCATCAGGTATTTTAGACAGGCAAAGTAACACAGCTTCACAGAGTTAAACAAATGCAACATGAACAAAGGTAACATACCTTAAAATAATACCTTACAACAGCAGAGAGAAATAACACTAAAGACTTTTGAAAGAGTTATATGGAAAGTTACTTCTGTAGATACTTCCTAAAATATACATAGACATATGTACCATATATAAAAGGAGTTAAATAGAATCACACTATAAGAGGGGAAATGCTTTTTGCAAACAACATAGGCTATCAAATAAAATTCCCAGAGATGTGTATAGGGTACCTATTTTCAAGTCATTGGTAAATGTGGTTCCATAGACCCCCACCTCTGATGTATTACAGACTATTGTCATTTTCTCCAAAGCTCAATGGTAAGTCCCTATTGATTAAAAACATTCCAGGAATTTAAGTCATAGGGCATGGAGAAAACAAACTGATACTAACCTGGAAGCTGCATCATTACTGGATAACCTCCATAGTTCTGCAATGGTCTAAGAATTCTACTAGGAGAGAAAAGTTAATCAACAGTATTGATTGTGAAACCTGCAAGCTACAATAGCAAGTATTCTGACATGATAGGCCCAGCAGTACATAGGTGGCATGAATGTTATGGGAGTAACCAACCACTCTATAATTGTATGTAAAGCTTGCTACATAAGACAGAATACATGCCTAATACCATTAACTTGGCACAAACAACATGTCTGACTAGGCCCAAGGCCCTATGTGAGAACCCAATGTTTTTATTCTGCTAAATGGACAAAGTACTAAATTGTCCCCAAGCTCTTGTCTTAATGCATACATATTACTGCATCTTTCATCCTCATTAATAAACTTCTTTTTTCATTGGTGCCTTTACCAATAGGGACTCATTCATTCATCCATGAACTTCCTTTTCAATAGATGGTGATTAAAACAAAACCCCACAACTGGTCAGCATGCATAGAATAAGAAAGTGTGGAGTTCTCAGCTCTAAATGGAACATCTATATCACACACTTTCCACAAGTCTCAAGGATCATCATGGAAGAGGGGACATAAAAACTGTGAGAGTTGGCGGTAGTGAATAACTGCAGAAAAACTATTTTTTAGACATGACAGGACTGTTCACACATGAATCACGATCACGCTGACTGTGTGCATAAGATCTGTACAAGATCAAGTCAGCTAAAATCTAATCATGGAAAGAGGAGTTCAGGAAGGCCCACCTGTGCCTGAGGAGCCGTTGGCAATTGATAGCTAACTAAGGGAGGGCAACTCAGTTTTCCTGCAGCCTTTGAGACTCTACCCATGCACATACAACCATCACTAAGTGGACTCAGTGAGTTTGGGGAAAGGAATGGAAGGTAGTGGAGGAATTAGAGGGGAGGGAACAAAGGGTGGATTTGATCAAAACACATAATATCCGTGTATGAAATTCTCAAACTGTTTTTGCAAAGAACCTTTATAGATCCTGTGGGTTTTGTATTCTATAGCTTCCCTGACCAACATCTTTTATATTCTAGCAAAAGTTTTGCTGAAGAAATCAAATCATTTTTGTTACAGTATTTCAACAGGCTGGAGTTTTGCAAATTACATGCATGTTCTGCATCTGATTCA